TCCTTTAAATCACTGTGTTTAGTCAATAATTGACGCTCCAGACGAGTCGGTCTTAAAACATCATTGCTCAAAATATTGTAACAGATAACGCACTGTGGATGATCGCCATCATTTTTACTAATACAAACAAAACTGTATTTAATATAATTTTCATTATATTTGCATTTTTTTTTGCTGAGTTCATCTCGTTGAAACAAAATGAATTACGTTGACAACCAACACGCGATAGTGCTTAGTCTCAGTGACTATGAGTTGTTCTTGCACAAGCGAATCGTGCGAACTCCGAACTGACCCATAGCTGTGGTTAGTACGTTGAGTAAGTACTTGCAGTAACTGTGTACATAAAGACGTTTCTTGGTCCTAAGGTCCTCAACTATGCAGGCGGCCCGCGCCCCCCTTTGCAGGTCTCTGCGCCCCCCTTGGGTGGCGCGCCCCCCACTTTGAAAACCCCTGGTTTAAATAATGGTTTCAAGTGGACTTTGATAATTATGTAAAAGTGGTGCGATTTTGTGTATTAGGTGTCTACGCATGTGAACTATTAGTGAAAACGGTGAAACAAGTGCTCTGATGGTGACGTGATTCTCAAGATATGATGTCTGCTTAGGTGCCTTGAGATACCATCGCCAACTGCCAGCTGTCTGCTGGCTCAAGTTGCCGTCAAAATATACATTGTAATTATAAGTTGATAATTATACATAGTAACTTCAGGCTCAGAAGGGCTAAAACCCAGAGCCGTAAAGCCAGTAATAAAAATAATTGTTTTTAGGGTTTCGTAAATATACATAACACATATTTGATTTCAACCGCAATAAATAGTTTTACATTGTTTATGATGGATTTATTAAAAAAAGTTCTAATAAAAATGATAAATATTAAAAATGTAAATTTAGTTTATACTTATATATGTTATCTCTTATTTTATCGAATAAACGCTGCCTTAATGACGGCAGCTGTAAGGAACAGCGATAGATTAGGTGAAACATCTTCTTTCTGCCTTGTATTTTTTTGTTCTACGGAACCACGTGCAAGGCACACGTTACGCGTGACCGGAAAGAACAGAGGCATTTGAGGTTTTAGAGACTTCCTCGCGCATAATTTATTTTGCGAAATACGTTTATTTTATTTGCAGATTTACCATTGAAGTGCGTTTATTTTAATTTAACAATAAAATTTATTATATTGTTAATTTATTTATTTTTGTATGTATTGTTTTTGTTTTTATATATGTTTCGTTTAATATATTTGTGGTTTCACTGCTTCGCAAATGTTTTGTAATCTGTATTTTATTAGGTTTACCACTGTTTACGCATGAAACTTATGAACATGTTATTTAATGGAAAGAAATTGCAATTACACCCTACATACTTACTCTCTAGGGTACGCACTGCGTAGCAGCTGCGGTGCTGTATACCGCAAGTTTGAACCCTGCTCAGAACATGTGTTCGTATGGCTTACAAATAAATTTAAATGTCTAGAACACCCCCACAATACAGAAAAAAATAGAAATTTTATAATTTTCAACTGAAAATAAAAAATATTGTGAAATTTGAGCGCAAGCGTTAATCACCTAAGCTACGGTTAACAAAAAACGCATTTAAGTACATAGATCATATCATATTTTTCTCCCGATATCTTCAATAAAATGATAACAAGCATTTTTCAAAGCGAGGCACATAATTAATTTAAAACAAAGAATGACTACTTCACAGTCTTCATTGTGCCACTAGCAACAAAAACACATTGTTTGCCACGTGTTGCGCGTTAGGACGCTGTATGAATGTTAAAAGGGATCCGAGGTTCAATCCCGGCTTCAACAGACCTCGTTTCATTTTACATTGCTGCTAATTGTTTAAATGTGTGGCGATTCAGTACAAAATTTTAAAAATGAAATCATTATTGCTTAAATGCATTTATAATCAACACTATAAAACTTTTTCATAGCAATTTTGAAGGAAAAAAATTGGAGTGATTGACAAACCACGAAAAAGCGATAATTTTAAACTATCCCGCTATCTATCGGATTCCATAAGACTGTTTGTCATTTTCCATTTTCTTTAATGACATTCAGGCGACATAAGGGGGAGTGGATGGATTCTCTGGTCGGTCTGGTGCTGTCAAAGTCGATATTTAGTCGATATACGCCAATACTATGGATTGAATTAAATTATTTTTACGAATTTCATAACGTTTAATTTTAATATTCTACACACACACACACATATATATATATATATATATATATATATATATATATATATATATATATACGAAATACCACTGACTGACTCACTCATCACGAGATCTCTAAAACTGTACACCCGATTGACTTGAAATTTAGTATTGTTACTCATTTCGCAATGTAGACGCTCACAAAGAACGGATTTTACGATAGTCCCATCAAAAAAAAATCTTGAAATTTTACATCTAGGTTCTAGAAGTTATAATTTTAGTAAAATACGTAAAATTAGATTCCATCACGCTACCCCAATGTTAACGAACTGCATATTATATCGTCAAATATGTTTTAAGTTTACAGACATGTAGGACCTTTACGACGTTATACTTCATCGCTGACCACGCCTTCACTTTAGGTTTTACAAAAAATCTGCACTTAAAATATTAACTTATAATGCCTTCTTTGTGCCAGCGGTGATCGTCAGTTCACTCGTGTAGGTACTGTTCTAAGGCGAGCGATCATCTATATACAAATAAATAAAAATTAAGTGTCTGTTTGTAAAGTGAAAATAACAGATTTTTAATACATACATATGATATTATATACGGTACCTACATCAAATACACAATTTCTAAAATGTTTGTCTGTCTGTCTGTTTGTTCTGGTTAATATCCGAAATGGCTGGACCGATTTTGACTGAACTTTCACTGGCAAATAGCTGATGTTATAAAGAGTAACCTAGGCTACTTTTGTTTTAGAAAATAAATTAGAATTCTACGCAATAAAACTAAAACTCTAAGAAGTCTCGTCGAAAATGTAAACTGAAATGTATGGTATAGAATTTGACAGCAAATGTCAAATTTCGCGAAGACTGTGACACTGCGGCTAAGTGATTTTTTAAGTTAGAAAGTTTTTTCTTAAACCATAATTTCAACCCGAGACTATCAACGAACAACGTTTTGTAATGATACGGTAATAGTTTTATATACATTCAACGACTCGACTCATTAATTTATGATGCGATTTTTTTTATACAATATGGGTGACATACGAACACAGTCTGCATGGTGGTAAGTGGATACTGTGGCCCATAGACATCTGACTAAGATGGAAAGCCTCATATTCCAGTAAAACGGGTCTCCGGTTCTCTACACTCACCATACGAAACACAGCAGCATTAAGTGCTATTTTACGCTGGTATTCTGTGAGAACGCGCTCCTTCCTCGATCGAGGCGACCCAGCTTACAACGAATTATTTTGATTCTTTATAGAGGATAGATATAGATGTCTATGGGTCACAGCAACCACTTACCATCGGGTGGAATGTGTGCCCGTTTATCACCCTATTCTATATATTAAAATAAAAGAATTATGGCTCCATCTTAGACAAAAGACTTATATGCCTATATGTTTGAACAATGTTGATTTGAATACCCTTCTGTCGCAGTGAACACAGTCTGCCTGATGGTAAGTGGATACTGTGGCCCATAGACATCTGACTAAGATGGAATGCCTCATATTCCAGTAAAACGGGTCTCCGGTTCTCTACACTCACCATACGAAACACAGCAGCATTAAGTGCTATTTCACGCTGGTAATCTGTGAGGACGTGGTCCTTCCCATGTCGAGTAAACCCATTCATGCTACAACCACAATACCCTATTTACTGGAAAAGAGGCATTCCATCTTAGTCCTCACGGGTGACAACGCATCTGCATTTTGATTCGCAAACAAGGATAGATGTAGATGTCTATGGGTCACAGCAACCACTTACCATCAGGTGAACTGTGTGCTCGTTTGTCACCCTATCCTATATAAAAAAAATATAACCCCCGGTCAGTTCAATAATAGCGTAACATAATATATTTTCATAGGTTTTAAGTTAATTATTATTTAATAAGGCACAATATGCAACTTTTGAATAAGCACTGGATTACTTAGGCTTTAGGCATTTAACGGTCACAAAAATATCTTAAATAAAAAACCAAATACCTGCACCTGAAAATGTACTCGTAAATTGTTTTTTTTTTAAATATTTAATGAAGCCGCAGATCGGGCTAAGTGGCGTGACTTGAGAGACCCATGACTAGCAATGAATAGTTGGAGCTGATCATGATGATGATGATATCGTTTAGAGCTAAGGAAGAGTGCTTAATTGCCCCACTTCATTATTTAAATTGTACGGAAACTATAAAAGAATGATAATTTTTAAGGCATAAAACCTAATAAGGTAATTATTAACTAGAATAAAAAAATATTCTCATTAAATACTAGCTGTTACCCGCGACTTCGCCCGCGTGTAATTTAGGGTTTAAATTATGTTGCGCGGAACCCTAATTCTTTTTCTAAAATATAAGTAGCCTAAATTACTTCTTCTAACATCAGCTATCTGCCAGTGAAAGTCCCGTCGGTATATCCCGTTTTTATTTGTAAAGATTATAACAATCGAAGTAGAATTAATTGTCACATATAAGTCATAAGAGATATGTAGAGATCGAGGGAAAATCGATTCAAATACAGTGAAAAATCGGAAGGATGGTTAGAAATGCATTTGTAACATATTATTAGCTCTTAAACAATACCTTTAAAATATTTTAACGCTTAAATACAGTATTTGTTATAATAACTCAAATAAGTTTGGTCTAGCGATTCATAGTCAGTTTCAAATGATGACGGTCTTGAAATTTCAGAACTGTCAATTTTTTCGGGGAATCGAACTGTTCTCGTTATTCGTGAATCATGTTCAATATGCTACTAATTACAATATCATACCCACCGCCGTTCTATATTTAATTATATCTTAAAATAACACAAATCTGCTTACCAGTTTCTTGGAATGAATACGATCCCGGCTGGCATCCGCAAAAAATCTCGTACGTCACTATTATGTCCGATAAATAAAAATACGCCACATAAAATTTACTACACAGCACTATGGCACAGTCACTTGAAATGAAAAAGTTCGACGATTCGCTATATAACGAATTTCGTAAGAGTTTTGAAGAAAACGCGCTATTCCACACGCTTACACAACGCGAGCTTTAGGCGAAGACTGAAGATAAACGAAGCTTTCAGTATTACGCTGCGCTCGCGCCGGCTTCGGTACGGCGTTGCGTCTACTCCTGCCGTCTTCTTCTAATGTATGCCGGAATAAAATATAAATTCGCCATCCTTGTCAAACTTTATGTCGCCGCATGAAAATGAGGAAAATGCGTCCCATCGTTCAAGTTACGTAATTTTCTTGATTTATTCTGTCTTTTGATTAATAGTCGCGGTGTTTTCGTTTTGTTCTGTTAACGTTGGCGCGATTTCAATGGTAAAATAACAAATTATTGTTTTCGTAGATTACCCTACGGCGATTACTTTCATAACTATTTCGTTAGGAGCATTGAAATTACTGAGTAACATCTCAAGGCCGTCTTACTAGATTAAAATAAAAACTAAAAGTTTCACGTAATTTTTTTAACGCTAACAAATAAATCACTTTATTTGGTAGATATTTTTTTTAAACAAAATGAAGTTTGATTTATTTTGCTTGAACATCAAAATCTTGTTGTATTTCTTTATATAAACGGTTTGGATCTCCGCCGGATGAATGAATGAATAAATTTATTTTGAATTGCACCAATGAATTGTTAATTACAATTTTAAGTGCAGATTTATCACGTGCCTGGCGGTGAGGAAATTAACATTATAAATCTCAGTCGTAAAAAAAAGTTAATGTAACTTTTGCACAGGTAATAAATAAAACTTATTAATATTAATAAATATTACTATAGTATATATTTTTGTTGTGTGTTTGTTTTTATTGATATTATTTTTAGAATGCCACAAAATTTTTTGCTTATCAACAAGATATTAATCTATAAAATGGTAGGTAATTGTTACTTGTATAAAACTAAATATAAATACAATTGAAACAAATTTAAGTATAATGTATAATATTTTAAAGTTGTTGTTATTGCCTTTTCAAATCAAATCAAATCAAATCATTTATTCCGCTAAAAACATGGGTACAGACGTATGGATACAGAGTCAATATTTGTTTCCATATATTTAGCCATTCGTGGCATGCGAAAAAATTTAAAAAAAAAATATAAATGTGTTTAGAACAAATGAACTAACATTAGAAATATACACATAATATTCAAGTATGTAACTACCACTTTGTAATGATTACATTTGTTTTTAGAAGTACATAACAAAATTCGGAAAATAACATTTAATTCAATTGAGAAGTATCACGCAATATCCTGGATCTATAGTAACTTACTTAGCTAAACAAAATCAACAAAAAAGAAATCAAAAGCAAAATCAAAATTTATAGTTAAAGAATTCTTTGATGTTATAAAACGCAGTATTTATTAGCCACTGCTTTAACCTTTTTTTCATTCGCGTTAATGGCTCTTTTATAGAATAAGTGTGACAAACGAGCATACCGTCCACCTGATGGTAAATGGTTGCTGTGGCTCATAGACATCTACATCTATCTTCGTTTGCGAATTAATAAATGCAGATGCGTTGTCAGCCGTGAGAACTAAGATAAAATGCCTCTTTTGCAGTAAAAAGAGTTCTCTACACTCACCATACGAAACACGGCAGCATTAAGCTGCTATTTTTCGCTGGTATTCTGTGAGAGCGTGGTCCCTCCCCGGTCGAGCCGACCCATTCGTGCTACAAGTATACTATTAATATAGCTGCAGCATGACTCTACCACGTATAAATGCGGAAATATCTTGAACAGACTAAAGATTTTACTGGAATTTACTTTCCCGTCTCAAAAAGATCTGAGTTACAAGTAAGTCTGAAGAAGTTTTACTTCAAAAATAATTTTATTCAACGTATAGTATTTTCCTAAATATAGAATAACATTATAAAATCGTACAGTTTATCATTATTTAAAATATTAGTGATTTAAAGAAACCATTAATATTATATTTCATCTAGGAAATGTAATGTAATGTTTCCTTTAACTATGTTTCGGAGAAAATAAGTTCTTGCCTCTTCAATGTAACGGCCAACGTTCCGGCTTCCGCGTGTTGAGGCGAAAAAGAAATAACTTAGTTGCTCAGTTAAATCAAGATTGTATTCCACTTGGTAGTTGCTATATCATTATCAAGATTGTTTGTCAATATCAACAACCGTGACAGTTGGTAGTTCTATGTCATTATCAACATTGTTTGTCAACATCAACTACCGTGATTTGTGGCATTACTTGAGGGAGGCGTATGCTTAGCAGTAGACTTGCTATAGAATTTAATTATAGTAAGTTCACTTCTTCTTCAAGTAATAATAAAATAATAAGCAATATAGAATATAAAAGTATTATATATAGATTGGAAGTATTTCTTTATGGTATAAGAATGACAAATGAACACACATCTTTCCTCAGTCCTGATACCTCTCTCTTACAGAATACCAGCGTAAAATAACAGCATACAGCGCTGTTTCGTATATATATATATATATATATATATATATATATATATATATATATATATATATATATATATATATATATATATATATATATTATGACGATACCAAAGACCCTTAATACTAGTAACAAGCACTTCATAGTCTGCAGGGATGGAAAGGCTTCCACCTGATGGGATACAGCATCCTTTTACAATCAGGTAAACTGCGTACTCGTTCGTCACTGTTAACAAAATAATACATACATAAACTCTTACGCCTGTTAAGAGAGAAGAGGGGTAGGCAAATATTGCGGAATTCCATTTGGCACAACCGTTAGGATTCCCCTTTCGCTTCTTGCACATCCATATATCACATACATGGTCGTCTATTAAAGATACTCTTACTTTGGCCCATCTTAAATTCGGCCAATAAAATTGCATCCTGGGCGTCTCTTGCCGGCTGCTGCCACTCACTTCTGCAGAATAATTTTGCTTTGTTACTCATTCCTTATTCATTATTTTTACATGTCCAAACATTGACTTTAATATGAGCAGTGTTCTTTTCTTAATCCTGTTCCTTCGTGCAAACTCCACAATTTTTGTTACAGAATTCCTCACAAAAAATAAGTATGTATTAATACACTATTTGCTAAATATGTTTACAATGTTATGGTCTCAATCTCATTATAATTAACGAAATATGTTATATAGATTAGATGTTTTCCTTTTATTTTCGTAATATATAACAACACAATGACTTCTTTATCATATATGTAAGCCGCTCCGTGATATGCCCTTGGATAATAAGCATTTTATGTCCACTTCTAATGATGATATAAATATTCAATATACAAGATTAATTCGACGCTTAAAAAATCTAAATCTAATGTATTTAATTTCGTTAACCAACATTAAAATAAAACACATTAAAATAGTTACTTTAAACCGCCATAACTTCCGACACGCGCTGGGTTTTAAGTTAAACCGGTATCCGCACAGGAAATGGATACTTGCGGCAACGCTCATAGATATCCGAACAAATTTGTGGCACGCGCGACTAACGAATGATTTGGTGCATCGATTGATTGATGAATGGGCGAATGAGGATTGCGCGGTGCAGTAGTGATGAGCGGAAGCGAGAGCGCATTGTTAAACAGTCTTTCCGAAAAGTATTCAGACATGAACTTTTTGAATAAATATTTTAAAATAAAAATAAATTCTTAATTTTTTTAATAAACCACACTAGGATTTTCTCTGTATCGTGGAGGCAGTTTAAAAAAATGCACAAGGATAAACATCCAGACCCGGAAAAATATTTGTAGGCCATTCAAATACTTGTTCCGAGCGGGATTCGAACCCGCGGCCCACAGCGCTGCAACTCATTGAGACGGCACTGCGCCACGGAGCCGTCAATAAGTTGATATCCAAACTGGCAGTCAATAATTTTATGATAGTTTTGATTTTGGAAAAAACAAAAATTAAAAAATATTAGTGTTGATATGGCAGACTTCACATTTACATCAGAAACAGAGGGTTTTTTTTTTCAATATAGATTATAAATAAGACTTATTGAAAGTCACTCTCCTAACTTATATTGAATAAGATAAAGCATTTTTCTCGAAACTACTATTAATCTTTGTACTAGTTGGACATTTATTGCGTGTTAACATGATAAGACATGCAGGACCTGGTAAGACATGCAGGAAGTCGATGGATGCAGGTGGCTCAGGGCCGTGCTTTGTGGCATTCTTTGGGGGAGGCCTATGTTCAGCAGTGGACTTATGAAAGGATGTAATGTAATGTAACGATGAACATGATTTATTAAATTTAAAAAAAAAAACTAAAGTCATAATTTGTTCGTTATTAAAGAACACTGTATACAAATGGACTTAAATATTTTAAACGTTACGCATACACTAGGAATTTCTTCATTATCATAAAATTTATGGCACATGGACAATCCTGACACGGAACGCTTATATTAGGAACAAAATACGTGTTCCGTGTGGGATTCGAACCCTATGCCCGCAGCCCTTGGCCACTGCGCTACTGAGCCCACAGCTTACAAATTAATTTCAGTTACAGATTACCTACTTAATTTGTTTTTCAATATATTATTTTTTAATCCATATCGCTAAATCAAGCACAAAACCCACAGCCTTAGATTTACGCTACGGATGTGCTAGACTTTTTAAACATTTATATTTTCACACTCGTAGACTATAATTATTATAGATATAATGTTTTGAATGTCCCGGTAGGTCCAAGGCGGAACGCCCGCTTCAAATTTCTTAACAACCCCAGTTCGATCCCAAATTCTGACATACACTACATAGTAACATTACAAATATTCCCATTGGAGATGTTCCATGTTTAAAAGGCACGTATTTGGAGAAGTTCAGTAGTAGTCGAATAACAGCTTTGAAACTTTTATAGTTTGTAGTTGCCCTTAACCATCAAGCAATTATTGTTTCACAATTTAGTTATTAACGCTATTTAATTCCTCAGATAATAAGTTAGTTTAGTCAGATAATTAGTTAGTTGCTATTAAACATTGGAACTATGGAGAGGGCTATGCTCGGGGTTTATCTGCATGATAGATTTAAATATGAGGATATACGCAGTAGAACCAGTGTA